AGCATTTCTCAAGCTAAAAGAACTTAAGAACAAGTGCAAGTCTCAAGTTGCAATCCTGAAGGATTCTATGGGCAAAATCTTCACTGATGCAAGAAGCATCAGAGTCATTGTACCAAAAGAATGCTTTAACACTGAATCATTTCAAGAAGTAGCCTACGATTAAAAACCTATCATGTTGAAGGGAGAAGTCCAAGCTGCACTTAAGGCATTGGTAAAAATAATAATAATAATAACAATAATAATAATAATAATATCTCAATAATTCATTAAATACCAACTGAAGTGCTTCAGGAAAGAGATGCAACCCTGGATATGCTCACCAGTCTCTGCCAACAAATACAGGAGACAGCTACCTGGCTAAGTGACTAGAAGAGATTAATATTTGTTCTCATCCCCAAAAAAGTGATCCAACCAATTGTAGCAATTGTCAGATAAAATCAATAATATCACTCAAGTAAAATATTATTGTTAATGTTATTGTCGAGTCGAGTATGACCCATAGTAACTATGAACAACAGATCTGAAACCTGTCCTATCTTGTGCCATCCTCATACTTCCTGACACATGAGAGCCCATTGTGGCAGTCACCCTGTCAATCCACTTGGTCGAGGGTCTTCCTCTGCCTGTGTGAGTAATAAAAAGACCTGGGGCTTTGCTGTTCTAAACTTGTATCTCTTTACTTTTCATTGGAGTAAGTAGACAGGGTAAGAAGTCCCTAGCTTCCCCTACTTCGAATCCTAGAAGTCCCTTGCTTTCTGAAGAGGAAAAAAAGGGAAAGAACCGGGAAAAGGGAAAGAACGTCCATTTATAAAAGTATGTTTGATCACAGAAAAGATGGGGCTAACTTGACAGACTGGAGCGTTTTACACAGAAAAGGACAAGATTAGATCAGGTGCTACCCATAGGAAGAAACAAGAGCCTGTCAGTCAGAAAAGCAGCAGAGAATCCAGGAGCTTGTCAAAAAGAAAGCCTGTTGGTCTCTCCTTCGCAGGGTGGGTGGTGCGATCTCATGCGGAAATCTCAATATCCTCCAGGAAGGGAGTCCACCTTTAACTCCGGGTTATCTTTACCAGGTTAAGATGTTAGCTGTAGGTAAGAGAAAGTGCATTGTCACTCGAGCCCTGGCCTCCAAATCCAATTGGCTAGAGTTGCTCAAATCTCTCTCTGATTGGCTGCTTCCACCAACCCCACCCCCCCCACCCCCCGCTGTCACAGGGCGGATAAGGCGCCCGGCAGATGGGCTCAGCTCATAGGCTTGGATCCTGTGACCTCAGATTCCTGTGTTTTCTTCCGTAGCCCTACAGGATCAGTGGGCCACCCGAGCCTCTGGTGCCGGGTTTGGGGCTTCCCACTGGTAAGTGTTGCATTTTCTGGGACCAAAGCTTCTGTAGCTGCAGAAAGTGGGCCGTGGGAAGCTAGTGCCGCCACTTTCGGTTTCTGCAGCTGATGGGGGTAAAGGGCTTCCCAAGTCAGAAGCCCGAAAGCTCACCTCCTGCACCCCGTCTCGCCCTCTGCCCTCAGGGCCTCGCCCTGTGACTGGAGCCTGCCTTCCCCATACCCTTCGGAAACTTGAAAGTTAACCTTCCTTTCCTGCACTCACTCATCTATATTTTGATCCCTCTTCTGGAGTCTTGCCCCTGCTGACTGGAGGACCATAATCTTCTATTCTACAGTCTTTCACAATGAATTTCTACATCTGTTGTTGTTGTTGTTGTTGTTGTTGTTGTTGTTGTTGTTGTTGTTAAGTACTGTGGAGTCAAGCACTATTAGTAGCAACCCCATGAACAAAAGACCTGAACCTTTTTCTCCCTTGTTCTGTAACTATCGTTTCTCTACGTTCATAGTTTACAGTGGGATGTTGTTTAGAAAGTAGATGCGATTCGCCATTCCTGCTTCCGTCTCAATGTAGGAGCCTACTAAACACAAAAATCGCCGCCATCTAGTCTGTTTTGTCTCATAGGCTCACAATCTTGAGGCGGGGACTGCCTATTTTTCTACCACGAGAGGAGCTGCTGGCTTCAGGACCTGACATTTTGGTCGTCAGACTCAATATATTGCACACTGCACTACCAGGACTTCATTCATGGAAGAAAGCCTGGAAAACTTCTTAGAGATTACAGACAAGAAAGCCCTGTGGAGCAGTTCTACTCCATAGCACGTAGAAATCCAGCCAACTCTAAAGTAAAAGGCAGCACCTGTTTCCACTGCATCCCTTCATTTATCGTTCTGACGTTACTTTCTGTGCCTACTGCCACCATATTCCTGGTTTTTAAATGCTATTTTCATTCTTCTATTGGTCTCATTTTGTAGCTTTAGATAATCAACCTCTCTTTTTTTATGCTGTCAACTTTAGGCAATGGTTGTGGGCACTTTCTCTTGTTAGATGATGCTGTTGGCACTTCTACCTACTGTCAGCATTTAATTCTCATGTATTCAAGCCATAGAACCCAGCCGTTCTGCCTATAAAGCTGCACGGCAGAGATTTTCATTACAAAATTTCCAGAAGACTTCACGCCAAGAATGTTTCCTTACATAATTTTCTTTCTACTGTGGTCTACTAACAGTTACAATGGTTACATCGCACTTTAATGCAGTAGAGCTTTTTCTTTTATGTGAAATATGTTTATTGTGAATTGGAAATAAATAATCTTCTGGCCTCTTTACCATGCCTCTTTGACTTCAGATCCAATCTGTTCTTGATGACTTCCTTGAAGTATGCTGACTTCTTATTCCAGTTAGAAGCATTTAAGTCTTGTCTTGGGGTTTCCATGCACTGGCTTGCTAGATTTTTTTAATTATGTTTCTGTTATCATGTACTTTCCCATTTCTTGGTTTTTATCCTTCTTTTTTAGAATTTTTTTTTTATTTTATTATTTTTTTTGTGTGTGTACCGTCAAATCAGATCTGACTAGTACAGGAGGAGATTGTCCCTCCTTCCCCGGCAGAGCATCTGGTGGATTCGAACCTTGCGGCTCTGGGATTGTAGTTGCAGCTCTTTGCCAATAGGCCACCAGAGCTCCCCTGGGTTTTATCCTTCTTTTGCTGTATTAAGTACATCTTCAGGGAACCACTTTTGAAGGAGTATGTTGAAGATCAACTTTTAAGTACTTACGTGTGTCAATGTCTTCATTTAATTGCTAATTTGGTTAGATAAATAATACAAGATTGAAAAATTTTTTCAGTCAGAATTTTAAAGGATTATTACATTGCCTTTCTAGTGCTAGTAGTTGATGTTGCTGATGAGAAGGGAAATGCTGGTCTGACTGTTAATATATTGTAGATGACCATTATGTGTGTCTGTGTGTGTTTCTCTTTCTCCTTTTTTTTTTTCTCTAGATGTTTTCAAGGTTTTGTCATTACCCTTGTTATTTTTGACATGGTGATGCATGTGTGAATGTTTTCATTGTTTTGAGCTCTGCTCTCACAGATTTCTCAGACAGTCTCACAGAATCTCTCCCCTTCGGTCTTGAAAGTTTACTTTCATGATATATCCTACTAAACCTCTAGCCTCTCAGATTATGCCATCAGATCCATTAATCCTCCCAGTTTGTGCTCTTCTGCATTTCCAGACTATTCTTTTGTTAATAAAGTTTGTTTCTCAACAGAAAGTTGATAAATCATATATCCATTTAGAATCAACCTCTCAATCTCTTTGTCATCCTCTTGCCATATTTTAATTGAAGGTCTCACAAGAGAGATGTATTAGTTTCTTCTTGTTGCTATAACAAATTAGCACAGTTAGCACTTTACAATATCATTATTTCATTACCTTATAATGCCCATAATAGATTACATTGAAAATCTAGGACTATCTTTATTCCAGAACCTTCAGAAGACAATCTGTTACTGTGCCTTTTCCTGTTTCCAGGGACCTCTTGGAGCATATGAGTAGATTCAGTATACCCTTCTAATTCCTCCTTATTCCATCTGCAAAGCTAGTAATGGCAGATCAAGTGCTTCTCACATACCGTTCTGACCTTGCTTCATTCATCACATGTTATTCTTCCACCTGCCTGTTTTCCTTTTAAAGACCCATGTGATTGCTTCCGCTCACATGACTGATCCAGGGTAGCTTCTCTATCTCACAGTCAGATGATTAGCAGCCTTAATCTCATCTGCATCATTAATTCTCTATTGCCGTGTAACGTACTCACAGCTTTAGTGGTTGAAACACAAGTATCTTTGAGAAAAGTGAAGAGAAAGCAAAAGGTGAACAAATACTAACAAGTGAGCCAAGAACTGCTTCAGCAAAAATCTCGAGTTTATTGCTCAAGCAGGGATTTCATCGATATGGATCTGATTATCATCAGATATGCTTTGTGGGTTTTGTGGGGTTTTTTTCTTCTTTCTAAGAAGTTGTATCACCTCTGCTTCTCACACAGTTAAAGAGGGTGCCATAGTATCTTGATGAATTATAACTGTATATTAATATGGGTTAAGTAGGCAGGCATTTAGATGGTGTGGGTAAAGTATTGCTGTTTTCTTATATTTTACACTTTGTTTAACACAGGAAAACAAATTATTCTTATGCTTGTACACATAGGGTTTCTTGAACATTATATTTTCTGTACATTTAATTATGTGAATGTGCATAAAAACATAAGATAGAGTGGAACTGGAAATATGTCTGCCTTTACTTAATATACTAACACACCATACCTTTTATTATGATCTTATATGAATCCAAGAGATACTAGTCCAATAGCATGGTTGGGGAGGAGGGGAAAGCTTAAATTCCTGACTTTTGTTCACTTAGGTATCCCCAGGTATCCCTTCTGTGGTGTGAGCCATGTAACACAGTCAAAACTTCAGTTGAAAAAGCCAAGATCAAATAAGGTTAATACAAGATTGAAATCAAGAATTGTTTATTTAGATATTTTTACTGGTTTTTCTGTTCTCCTTGTTACCAACTTTCCCTTACTTGTTTTTGTTTCCCTCTTCTCAGCCTTCACTCACTCTACCTGGCTTTACTTATTCTGAAGAGTCTGTGAAAAGGAACCATGGATCCTGCCACTTTGGTGGAAGCCATGGTGGAAGAAGTGGCCTGTCCCATCTGCATGACCTTCCTGAAGGAGCCTGTGAACATTGACTGTGGTCACAGTTTCTGCCACAGCTGTCTCTCTGGACTCTGGAAGGCCCCAGGAGAATCCCAGGACTGGAGTTACACCTGTCCATTGTGTCGGGCTCCTGTTCACCCCAGGAACCTCCGGCCTAATTGGCAGTTGGCCAATGTTGTGGAAAAAATCCGTCTGCTGGGGTTTCCCCCAGGAATGGGACTGAAGACTGATATGTGTGAGCTCCACAAAGAAAGCCTTAAGTTGTTCTGCAAAGAGGATAGCCTGATAATGTGTGAGGCCTGCAGCCAGTCCCAGGAACACAAGACCCACAGTATTGTGCCCATGGAGGATGTCGCCTGGGAGTATAAGGTGAGAGGTGGAGGCTGGGTGCGCTGGTCCCTCCTTTTCCTCTCCCTTGGCTGTCTCCAGATCTCAAACTTGACCAGAAACCCAGCAACTAAATTTCTTTGACTTCTAACACCCACATATCACTGACTTCACGTGCTAAGCTATGGTTTTTCCTTGCGTTCATGATTTCCTCTGATTCCTTCTCCACACTTCATCTCTGGCTCCATCGAGGTTACTGCCTAAAGTGATTTCAATACTTTTTCTAATTATGTGCCATTGAGTCAGAAGGACTGACCTATAGCTAAACAGGTTTTCAGAGACAATAAATTACATCGGAGGAGAATGCCCATCTTTCTTTTGATGAGCAGCAGTGGATTTGAACTGCATACCTTTGGGGTGGAAGTGTAGCTTTGAAGTGCCTTGAATGAGTTTGACTATGAGGCTTTTGTTTTATAAGTTGCCAGAGCTGCATCTGTTGGAACTCTTCCTAACAATGTTACAAAATAATTATTTGACATTGGGTGGATGACATTTCTTTAAAAAAAAATGTAGTAAATTATAAGGGAGGAGATTGCCCATGTTTCTTCTGAGGAGAAACTGATAGATTCAAACCATGACCCTTAGAGTTTGGTCCTTTGAATCACCAATGAACATCTTTTCCTAAAATACCAAGGCCATTTTCATAACTGCTCTTAACATCTTTTTAGACAAGTCAGCTTTACCTTCAATCATCCAGCAAGCAAAACCTTTAACTGTAGTCTTTATATCCAGGGTTCTTCTCGTTACACCTTGCCAGAATCTCTCCACCAGCACCACCCCTGCCATCTCTAACAGTGTGGAAATGGTTCTCTTATATTGGTCTCACAGCTGTTGATGATTTGCAAGACAATGTGTCTGCAGTTAAGGTAGCTGGAGATCAACCCACCAATTTTCAAGGATTGTGTCTCCCTATATGGTAACAGCAGTTAAAAAAGAGAAAGATGTGTTGCAGTGAGAAATGTACTATCAAGGACCTTTGCATAGTTCTACAGAGCAAAAATGTGAGATTAAAGACTAAATGCACCTAATCCAAACCACAGATTTTCAGTTGCTTCCTATGTATCTGAAAGTTTGACAAAATTGAGGTAACTGAAGAAGATTAAAAGCATTTAAATTGTGATATTAGAGAAGAGTACTAAATATACGATGAATTGCAGAAGAACAAAACAATCTGTCTTAATGGAAATACAACCAGTGTGCTCATTAGAGGCAAGGATGATTAGACAACATGCCATCACGAGGGTCCAGTCCTGGAAGAAACTATTATGCTTGGAAAGGTGGAGGTTCAGAGAAGGAAAGGGTGACCTTGAAGGAGATGAATTAATGCATTGACTGCAATAGGGTTAAAGAGCACTGGAGAGTGCAAGATAGTGCAGTTTCAATCTGTTAGACGAAGGGTCACTAGGAGTTGGAATCAATCAAGTGGTACCTAATATTAGCAACAAGAACAACAATTGCACCTTGGGAAAAATGTAGAGAGTAGGGAAAGCTATGTAGTGATTCATTTCTAGACAAGACAAACTTGTTTTTAGGTGCCATCAAGTCAACTATTCCTCATAGTGACCTTATCAACTGTAATCTATGTCGTTCTTGTTATCTCGCATATATTTGAGTCCCTTGTTGCAGTCACTGTGTCAGTTCATCTCATGAAGGGTTTTTCTCTCCTTTGCTGACCTCCCACCTTTCCAAGAAGTAGCCCCCCTAATAACATGCCTAAAATACATGAGATGAACTTCACCATCATTGCTTCTAAGGAACACCCCAGTTGCATTTTCTCAAAGACATATTAGTTTGTTCTTTTGGCAATCCATGAGTTATTCAGTACTTCTCTAACACCAGAACCCATAATTTCTGTCATCCTTAGTCATTGTCCAATTTTTAGGTGTGTAGCTACAATATGGATTGAGGCTCAATGTCAAGAAGACAAAGATTCTCACCACTGGACCAATTGGCAGCATCACGATGGATGGTGAAGAGATTGAGATTGTACACAGCTTTAGTTTGCTTGGTTCCACAGTCAACAGTCTTGGCACCAGCAGCCAGG